TTAGTTAGCACTGGTGCTTTCTTTTGAAAAATGTTATTGTTCAAATTGTAAAGGAATCCCGAATACCTACGGTTTGGAGGTGCTACAGCCGAGAACTGCAAGGGGGAGAGGCTGCTTTATGCAGGTTTAAGAGCTGGGATTTAAAAATCTGTCTTTACAGGAAGCTTCTGTGTGATTAAGGTTGAGCTTCATGCAGGGCTTTCTGAGAGACAGTGAGGCTGTGTGTCTGCCTTGACCAGTCACAGCTCTCGCAGCATCTGTTTAGGGCAACTAAGGAAGGAGTCCAACCCCAGCCTGCTCTAAAGAATTCCCGTAGTAAATGGGCCTGTCTCTCTGAAGATGATCAGTCACTGTGAGGCAGCCCCTCTCCCTGATGGGGACTCTTTGAGAGGGCTTGAGGCATTTGTGTGAAAGTGCTTTGAAAAGGTAGCGTACCCCTCCCCTCGAAAATTCTCAGACTTGGTAAATGCTCCCTCCAACCCCCTTCACTTTCAGAGTGAACATACTCTACAAGCCTCATTCCTAGTGGCTTCAGGAAGCTTTTATTGCATGGTTTTAGGGGAGGTTGAGGCAGGTTCACAATTAGAATTTAGAAAAGAAAGGTGTACCTGCAGGCAAATTGCTAGTAGGGGAAGCAGTAGGTTTAGAATAGGGTCTGAAATTAATTGTGCTCCAGACTTTGGCCTCTGGGAAATTACCAAAGGTTTGGAATACTTGAATGAAAAAAGCCTTGGTTGCTTTGCCTCCAGGAAGGAGCTTTTATCCCTTTTTTTTTTTTAAACCTGTGAAACTTAAGACCTTAGAAGGCAAATGTTAGTTGTAGGCTTCCTGGGCGGCTGGTTGCCCCTACCTCTTTTGCTAGGACTCAGACTCACCCCCCCCACCCCCGAAGGTGGAAAAAACAGCAGGAAAAGTCAAGTGGTCTGCCTGCAATCCTGCATGTAATGTATCAGTGGTGAAAGACTGAAGGAGACAGGCCAGAGTTGTAAACAGGGAAACTGCCTCAGGAGGAAAGTCTTGATTTCATTCATATCTTAAAAATAGTGGCGTGTGTTCTACAGAGAAAAGTATTGGAAGTGAATCGGAATTAATTCCCACCCTCCTTGATTCTTAAGTTACTCTGGGCTCTAAGGGGAGTGATAGGGTGGTGCTTCAACCTGCCACGACTTAGCATTCCAGCAGGGGTCAACTCTGGTCTGTGTTTCCAGATCCCTTAATGTCCTATGAGAGAGCCACCCTGAAGGGAGAAGCAGTCACCATTTCATCAGTTAGATGGGGTGTGGGCATCCACGGTATTAAAGCTTTCTCTTTGTGACAAGGATAAAATTGTGTTTTTATCAGTAAAATAAGCTGATACAATTCATGGTGTTATACAGGAAGCAGATGTCTGCCTTGGCAAGTTGCCATGTTATAGCCCTGCACCAAGCATTGACTACACTTAAATAATTAGTTGCTAATTAATGAGATCCAAAAATAAGTTGTCAAAATAGAAGAAGGGGGTAGACTCTTTAAGTTACCAAGGGCCTAGTTTTTAAGAAATCTATTTCAAACGGGTAGGAATTAGTATTCTCCAAGACCATTAATTAGTAGCTTTCAGGCGATGATGCCTCTTGGCACTTGAACCCTCCTCTGCTGTGATGAGTTCTGGGAGGGTTATCACTTTTTAAAAATGAAGTTCTGTGCCTTGAGGGGTGCCCAACAACGGCATAAAACCCAAGTTTGCCAAGCAACTTTGGTGACTTGTTTGTTCTTACTAGAAACCTCATCTCTTCATGGGATGATCTGGTTCCTTTGCCTGTTTTGTTTCCTTTTTGCATTTTAAACGTAATATACGACCCAAATTCAGCTAATAGAACTGTTTAAGTCTTGGAGGAGATGGTTACCGTATCTGACGTGGCCAAAGAGTTGGGTGCTTTGATTAAGGATTCCTGGTAAAATTTTTAGCTTTTATATAACTTGCCAGTTTTCAGTGAAACATTAAGTATAGAGGAAGATGTGTTGTAGCTAGCTCAAGGATATTTAAAATTCAAGACACAGCAGATTTAGAGGTCATGGGGTCTCTGGTTAACCTTTATTTACCCAGTCAACATTTGTGTGCGAATTAGTTGTTGGGACGGTAGAAGCCTTCTCCACATGAGGCTTCCAGTCTGGAGTGGGGAGACGGATGTTCAGCAAAGACTTTTTCTTTTCTAGACACAGTTCTTTATCATTACAGTTGGAGCTGGGATAGGTTTGTCTGGTCTGAGAATTCATTGCTCTGGGATACACTTCATTCATTCTGTAGTGAAGAAAGACTTTGATGAGGTCCTCTCATCAATACACAGCAGTAAACAAAAACAAATGTGCAGAGCAGTTGTTTGGAAGCTGCAGTGGGCTTGACAACCAGTGCTCCTTCACTTACAGGCTCCCAGGTGCTGTTCTTCATGACAAATGCATTGTGCCAGAAACGGGGCCAGAGAACCAGATCTCTTAGCAAGCCTACAGCAGTATGGGTACTAATGGCTAGTACTAATGGTTACTCAGGGACACTTGGAGTAGGGGTGGTGTGGATTGGGTTGAGTTGTTCTTATGGTATACTTGATCTTTGTTTTGTTTTTTGGAGACAATGTGTTACCGTGTAGCCCTGGATGTCCTAGAACTTAATTTGTAGACCAGGCTGACTTGGAACTCACAGAAATTCTCCTGCCTCCACCTCCTGAGTGATGGGATTGGAGTTGGGTGCCATCCCCCCAGCCTTGTGATAGACTTTAAAGATGATATTTAAAGCTGGGTGTGTGGTACAGTTCTGTAATCTGATTGAGGATTAGTCTGAGGGAGGAGGTTGACGAAGAAGAGTTGGGAGTTTGAGGCCAGTCTGGACTGTGTATTGAGACCTCACCTTAAACAAACAAACAGAATCAATTTGGAGAGAGAATTAAAAGAGAGTTATTTCGAATTTGTGGGTTTTTTGTTTGTTTGTGTTTTTTAATGTGACTGCTTTCGGAAGTCAGAGAATGACTTGGGGTGTTGGTTCTCTCCTTTTATTATGTAGATTCCAGAAACCAACTCAGCTTTTCAGGCTCGAAAACAGCGCCTTTACCCACTGGGCTATCTCTGTGGCCCTCTAGTCTGAGGTTTTGGCTTGTTTGTTTTGTTTTGTTTCTTTTTTAGAGGTACAAGCAACTATTGTAAATTTCTCTTTAGAGGTTTTTGTCCAGGTTTATAGAAAAGCTTTGGAGAGTCTGTGATCTTTTGGAAATTAATGGGTGTTTTTTTAGAAAGAAAGTCTTTACTGTTTTGTTTCCTCTTCTGAAGAAAAGGAGCAGAGTGCTTCTGTTGGAGTTGATCAACTGAGACGGATTGCAGGTTGCCCAGGATTGCGCTGGACAGCTCCTGGGGCATCCTTAGGTAGCATCCATGGGTGCTGTCCAGCCCCATGCCGTTTGGGTCTTATTTTTCATTGTGCTCTCTGAATGTACTTCTCAATTCAGAGTGGGTCTTACAGTTGTTAAGTACATCTTTTTTTTCTTTTTATCCTACAAAACACTTGTGTGTTTTAGAGGGAATGACAGGAGATATTCTTGGAAAAGATGGAAGTTAGCGGAAGAGCTGGTGCCCCAGTGTTGGGTGTACAGCTTTTGGTTCTGAAGCCATCATTGAGTGGCTTGAATTCCAGGTCAAGGGGGATATGGTGTACATTAAAGAATTTACAGTTCCCTTGCAAACATGAGTTAAAGCTGACTAAACATATATCCTCTGGCGTTTTCACTTTTGCCAGTTAAGCAGCTGTTTATTCTATTTCACTAATCACTGTTTTGATTGAACATTGTGGTGTCGGCTACATGTAGAAAATAAGCAGATGACTAGACAGATGAAATGCCTTCCATGGGTGTTGCAATCTAGAGTGCTTGAAGGAGACATGCCTGAGAGTGGACTTTCCATCTTCGTATTCTTTGTAGTTATGGAACATGACTGTAAAAGAGAGTATGCTGGAGTGAAAATTGATGAATGATTAGTTGAGATATTATCCCGTGAATGAAGCTGATGAGAGAAAGATGAACTGACTTTGCCTGTAGTTGAGTTTTCATATTTTGTAAGTGATCCCAGTGTTTGCTCTCTTCACTTTTTGGCTTTTTGTTGTGGGATGGAGAGATAGTGTCTTATTACCTTTGTTTAGGAAATTAACCCAAATGAATTAATGTTTTCATTTAAAGAACACAGTTTGCCTGGATGTTTTTAGGTTAAGAAGCACATTGCAATTCAGGAGTCTTAGTGGAAGAAGCAGAAATCACAGTCTACTTGCCTGAGCTATCCCCAGACTGAGAGCTCTGGGGGAGGCTTGCTAGGTGCTCTTTAAAAAGTCTAATTAATAACTGCCAACTTTGTTCTGACTTGGAAGTTCTCTTTGTACCCCTAAAGGTGATCAACCTCCTGAAGAGAAAGGTGCAGACATGGCCTAAGAGTAACATGACACTTGAGTTTTAAACTGTAGACCATTGAAAATTGAAATTTAGATCAGTGGTTCTCAACCTGTAGGTTGCAACCCCTTCAGCAAACCTCTGTCTCCAAAAGTATTTACATTAGATTCACAACAGTAGCAAAAATTACAGTTATGTAGTAGCAGTGAAAATTGTTTCATGGTGTGGGAGTCACCACAGCATGAGGATCTGTGCTAAAGGGTCCCAGCATTAGGAAGGTTGAAACCACTGCCTTAGATCATTTGATAACAAATGCTCAGGATGAACTGAGGAAAAATGTACAATGTGAGCTGTTCTGTTTTCCTTTGCAGATAGCAAAGGCTGGGATCACTTAGGAAATATGAAAACTCAACTGCATGTGACTTTGACTGACTTCTTAGTAAAACTACGAAGTATTTTTTTGCCAGAAAAACCTTTGGAGAATGCCATCTAGGTTTTGCTAAACCTTTCGCCTTTCCTCAGATAGAAGATTCAGAGAGCTTTTAAATAAAGGTTTCTCCTTCTGCCATTTTGGGAATTTGATGGCACTGTGGTGTTTTATAGGCATTCCTTTGAGAAACAAGCAGAAGTAATGAGAAGACATTATGGAGGCCCAGTCCCACAGCTCCGCAACCACTGAGAGGAAGAAAGCTGAGAATTCCATCGGGAAGTGTTCCACGAGAACAGATGTCAGTGAGAAGGCCGTGGCCTCCAGCACCACTTCGAACGGTGAGTGGCCCACAGTTCCCAGCAGGCTAGCCCCAGGCATTGCTGTGTCCTCTGCATCCCTGAGCTGAGCATCTACACCTGGACCATTGATTGTTCTGTGAGAGGATGACATAGCAAATGGGCCAGAGGATGGGGTGTGGGGTGGGCAGGCTGCTTGCTTTCTTCAGAGTGTAATTCAGGATATCGATTTTGTGATAGGTTGTTTATTAAAAGAAGTTCTTGTTTTGGTAAGAATTAAAAGTGCTTTGAACTTCACATGGGAAGCCTGTATTAGTCACAGTAACACAGTAATTGTCAGGATCTCCCTCTCCCGCCCGAATTAAAGTTGTCTAGTGGAAAGGACTTTAAAATTTGACAACCTTAAGGTAGTCCACCTTATGTCCACAAAGTTTATTGTTGGTTTATGTAAATTTAATGTATTTAACTGTTTTAGAGATATCACAGAGTCACCATTTATTTTTACATTTTAAGCAAAGCATTGAGAGGCATTTCAGTTTAAGCATGGGCACTGAATATAAAATCCAGCATCCCCTACGTGGGAAAACAAAGCTGGAGGGTTGTGGTGATGTTCTCTTCCTCTCCAGGCTTTCCCACAAAGTAGGCTGTTAATAGCCTTGATTTTTGTAGCTTTAGTCATTCCTGCTCTCCTTGGATTGCATTCTGCTTTTCTGTGTGCTCTTAGGAAGAACATGTTGGCTCAGTCTCCTGGTTCTGGTCCTGCATGACCCAGTTCACTGATCTGCCCGACCCAACCTTCTGTCTTCTCTGTGGTTTTATAATTTATATGTTCCAAGAACATTTTACTAGGTTGACTTTCTTTCTTCTTTCTTTTTCCTTCCTCCCTTTTTTCCTTCTTTCCATCCGTCCATCCATCCATCCATCCATCTACCTATCTACCTATCTATGTATTTTATTTTTTGGTTTTTCGAGACAGGGTTTCTCTATGTAGCTCTGGCTGTCCTGGAACTTACTCTGTAGACCAGGCTGTCCTGGAACTCACAGAGATCTGCCTGCCTCTGCCTCCTGAGTGCTGAGATTAAAGGCCTGTGCCACTACTGCCTGGCTGACTTACTGTTGTTTTAAATGTGCAATTGAAGAGTGAGCTTGGTTTGGAAGCTGACCATAGCCCAGAACCTTCAACTCTGAGGACAAATATTCCTGAGGAATTTGGCCCTGATCTGTGCCCATCCATGTGTGCTCAGCTTTGCTGTAAGTCTGCAGTCCTTTTATCAGGGTCTTGACACAACTATGGACTGTGACATAGCCGGAGGGAGGTAGCTGGCTGTCAGCCTTGCAGGCCAATGTGTCCAGCTTTCCATTGATCTCTAGGGAGATATATGTATGTCTGAGTTAAAATAATGGATCACTTTACCTGTATGTGTGTGAAAATTTGTATTGCTCCCCTTTTTTTTGTGGCACCTAAACCTAGGGCTCAAGCTTATTTAACACAGCCAGAATATTGGTCTCTTGTGGTCCAGCATTATAGAAAGCATTTTCTACTTCAGAAGCATGTTGTCTTGGTTTCTTTATTTTTTTGAAGTTTATAAAAATTAGGCTCATTGTTTTATGAGTAGAAGCAACATATAAAGTGCTGGTTATTTGGTGGTATTTTATAATAAGAATAAGCCCTGTCTCTCTATTAAGCTTCATGAAACACCGATTTTGTTCATCATCATGGCATGTGAGTAAGGTGTGAGAATGCAGCAGAATATGTGGGTATTTCTGAGTGCAAGGACAGGTCAAAGCCAGTGTAAGTTGGTAGGGGATGATGTTACACCATGTGGAGTGTTAGAAGCCACTGTCCTCTCTCTGAGTCCCCAGCTAAGTCTCATCAGTGGTCCCTTGTGGGGAAGATGCTGTTTCCTCTGTGGATCTTGCTCCCATGCTGAGACACATACTGGAGGGAGGGGGGTGTTCTCCATTACTGCTCATCTTCTTGTCAGTCAGTCTTTGACCATAGGCTCCCCTCTTAACCATGTCGAAGGTGAATGGAGCAGGACTAACCTGAACCCAGTGGTGGTCTGGAGGCCTGGTGCAAAAACTAGTCAGAGAAAGGACAGTCTTAATGCCAGTCCTGTACTTGGCATAATCACAGGCCTGTTTGCTAAGCCACATGCACTTCTGCCTTCCTAACCTGATCAGCCTGTGCCCTTGAGGCCCACAACCTGTCTAAACGTGCCCAAGTCCTGTCCCACATGGAAGTAAATACTCATTGGTCATGCTTGCGGGGGCACATATCTGAATGAGATCAGTCCCAGAGTAGTTTTTCAATATTCCTGTTCTTCTAAGGAATTCACTGCTTTTCATTTGGGGACAATAGAAAGCTCCAGTGAAACAAAAGAAAAAAAAATGGAAATGTTATTTCTAAAATGTAAATTTCCACTAACAGACTGACCCCAGGAAAAGCAAGCTTCCTTCATTTAAGCTCTACCTTGTCCTGTAGATGAGTGTACAGACTTTAGTCCTGCGCTGATTGGGTTAGAGCTTTTGTTAGGCAGCCTGGTAAAGCCTGGTGTTGTGTGTGTGCTGGCCTGTAGCAGGCATTATTGTGGTTGTTGTCTGTCCACTCAACAGTCTGTCTCTCCACCTGCCCGTCTCTCTACAAACAGTTTAGAAGTGCTTAGGTACTTACACTGAGGTCATTCACAGAAATTGGAACCATTGAGATACCACAGTAGTGAGCACAGTGATTGTGCCCATTTCTAGTTGCTTATGCTTTCTTTACAACTGCTCTGACATTGAGTTAGTAACCAGACAGTTAAAAGATTTAGTTCAGATATCAAGATGTATGAACCAAATGAATGCAAAGTGTGTATTTTCGATCCCACCCATTTCATCATGAAAAGTAAATAGACAAAGTTTTGTTACTGGTGAAGTATTGGTTACATTGACTTAATTAACTTTTCCAGTCATTATGTGGTATAATTTGTTCTTGATTGTGAGCATCCCAGCCAAACCACGCACATTCCACTGCGTGTCCTTACAGGTCTGTTTTCTTGCTTTTCTCAGTTGAGAATCTGCTCCTAGAATTTTGTTTAAACATACACAGATACACAGCCAAAATGGATGGCTCAGAAACCTTGAATAGCATTGTAAATAAACATTTGCTACATGAGATTGAGATTTAAAATAACATGAGTGAAAAACTACTCTAAATCTTGTATGGGGGAAAGAAACCAGGCCAAATTAGATCTCTGTAGCATTTCAGGGTCCACATGTACATGCAAAGCCTCTACTGATCTTCACATAGGAACCACATTGTGTACATAGTTTTCTGTTTGCATACTTCAGCTTTAAGCATTTAGTGCTATTCATGAAATGGAAATGACCCAGGAGATGGCATTTAATTTCCTGAATGTTTTTTAGGTACAGTTGTGATTTAAGAGATTGTACTTGAGTGTGCATTTAGATATTAGGCCTCATATTGACTTGAGAATGTCCAAGTCTGTTAATAAGACAAACTGTAGGTAAATGCTTTAATGCTCTCTGTTTGGGTATGAGTCATTACTTCCTGAGCTACACATTGTGTTTTCTAAGTAATGAGTTTTAAATACACATTTCTTCTGCTTTTCATGTTCTAATTAGCCTATAAAATTTTCTCTGTGACTTGAATATTTAATTTGAAATGTTTTTTCCTTATTTTTTGTTCCTGAGGTTTTTTTTTTTTTTTTTTTTAATAGTCCCTTGATAGTTCTTATTAACATGCCACTCTGCTTCAAGAAAGTATGGTAGGACACAGGAGCAGAGGTAGGCACGTCTTTGTAGATTAGAGGCCGGTGTTGTCTACATAGTTTCAGTCCAGCAAGGGCTGCATAGTGAGACCATGTCTCAAGAAGGAGGGTGGCAGACTTAACATAAACGATTCAGGCTGTGGTTTTGAGGTTGTGGTAATTACTGAGATATTTTATAAGTTTATAGAAAGCGGAAATTCACCCAGTTGTGATGAGGTGGGAAACCAAAGCTGATAGATGAATTGATAGGGAATTCTCTGTGCTTTTTGTTTTTTGTTTTTTTTTGGTCTTTTGCTTAAAAGATTTTTGATGTTTGTGCTTTCAAAGTGTCCAGTACATAGGTGTTAAAGTATGTGATGTCCATTGGACTTGTCACTAGGAGTACATAGGTGTTAATGTATGTGGTGTCCCCTGGTTTTGTGACTAGGAGTTCACAGTGTTTGTGATGTTTGCTGGTTTTGTGGCTAGGATTGAGATGGCTTCTCCTTCTGTTGAAACCTGGAATTGGAGTTCATTGTTGTTCCCCAGCATATACTCCTGTCTCCTTGACTTTTCTCAGTGTTAAGTGTCTGCTTAGAAGCAGACGGAGTTTGCTGCAGATAGACCTTAGGTTTTGAGTGTTATATTTCTTTACACTTCTTTGCTTTCCACATCCCATTTCTCGGCACATGTAAGATGGATGGGAGGGACTTTCAGGTACATTGCACTTGACATTATAGTGTTCTTATGAGGAAATGCAGGGTTTTGGATCTAAAAGCTTGGGCTGAGTTTTGGTGATGCCAAGTACTAGTTATGTGAGTGGATGATTAAGTCTCTTAGTGTCTGGGTTTCCTCATTTACTTAGCAAGGGAGTAATTACATCTACTTTTCCAGGACTTATCTGGAGAAGTTCTCTTCTTCTACCCTGTTGGCCTCAGGGATTAAACTCAGTTCATCAGGCTTGGCAGCAAATGCCTTTCTCTAGCCTCTGAGCCACCTCACTTGCCCAGGTTTTCAGATGAAAAGGAAAATGTTTGGCAAAAGTAATGATGAACTTACTGGATCCAAGATGTTTTGTAAATCACAAATCTAAGCAAGCCTGCTCATCTTGAGGAAGGATGAATAAACAACAAAGTAAGAAAGAAATGAAAGTCTTTATGCTCTTTCTGAAAGCCCCCTGAACTCCGAACAGAGGGTAGATAATAGTTTTGTGAGAACATAATTTTAAGAAAATTTATTCTGATTTCTTAACTCTTGAAAATGCATTGTACTTATTGTGCACATTGCCTT